AATACATAGTTCCATAGCACGGAACCTCTATATGCTAAAGAGTCCTTTAACAATCTAGTGTTGAATCTAGGAGTGGTTATTGCTTCTTGGTCTCTTAGTTTAACCGCCGCCTGGTTAGCTCAATTGGGAGAGCGCCGGACTGCTGTGCGGGAGGTCGAGAGTTCAATACCGGCCGGACCAACACTCAGGGTCTTAAAATTAACTGAGAAGAATATGCTTCCTTTCTTTAACATCAAGAAATGGTTAGATATTCTAGTCTTCTCGGATAGGGACGAATAAATGGAGGTCCCGTCTCCTGCAGGGTTAGGGGCAGGAGACGTTAATTTCCCACGCACGAGATTACTGTGTGATGGATGTCCTCCCCTGGGGTGGGATGGGTGGGTAACAGGACCCCCGTTGATACCAGTGTTTACTACACTGAAGGGGCTATCCTGTATAAATATAGATGTCTGTCTGTCTGTGGACCAATTTGAAGGCCAATTTTCCTAAGTGCGGCTGGAGAAAGTGTTTCTTATGTTTAATTTAGTTAAAAAGGCTAGCTTTACCGATCAAAACTACTCGGCTTATGACCGTTTCCGCGCAACTGCTGAATAGGAACAAGTAAGAACCAGTCAGAACACTCAGTTTATCTCAAGACTACCTTGCCATAAAATATGACTCTCAGCGTTAGTAACATGACGTCATGCCTTATGTCATAAGTTGGGGTTTTTCCCGTCTTTAATTTACTTTCAAATTTGCATATTGGTGTGTTTCTAATTGTGAATGCATCTGTATTCCGTTTTTTCTCAGAGTTTCGTTGTAAACTCTCCTTCAAGAACGTCAGAGGACAAAATCTTTTGGCATACACGACATAAGCGGCATTTTCTCAGGTGACCTTGGTGAGTTTTGAGTTTTTCCCGGCTTTGCCGAATATTTTCTCATTGTTTATTTTTCGCTTCAATTATGATTTGAGAAGACAGACCTTGAAATTTTCTATTGAAAAATCTTAACTCTCAGCGCAACTGAAAGAATTGTCTAGTTATATGATTGTTAAAAGGGAAAGTCCCGCTTAAAGCTTGACTTAAATGCGAAAGTTTTCCTTTGACCCTGTACTTGATGTTTTCGTGCGTGATCGTTTTTCTCTGGACTGAAAAACCCATATGTCTGTTCGCAATTCACGCGCCATTTTTGTGCGTTGTGCGCCCAGTAAGGATAAAAATAACAGAAACATACATGTGAGTGTCTCACGTAAAATTTGTTCGCAAACGTTGAAATGCTCTAAGTTCGATGTCTCTATCATCGGCGGTTTTGAGAAGACCACTGCATAGATGCGGGGGAGGAATCTTTAGGCAGCTGCATAAAACTACAGCTGTGTAATGATGATCTATTCCAGTCCAGGGATAGCACTATCATAAAGGGCTGGAGGGAAACTGTAATCCTAAAATAGCGCATTTGTTCGTATGCCTTAATTCGTTAATTTTTTTTCTCATGTCGATTCGGAAAAAACTTTCGTTTTGATTGTCCTTCATTTACGATATGAGTAATTTTTCTATGAGACAATCGAACTGTAAGCGAGAAATAACAGAAAACATCCGCTGAGTTTTAGCTAGAGAAGAACAAGTAATGGCCTTTAGTAAAAATCGAACGCAAATGGCCGTTACAAATCCACGCTTGAAATAGTCAGCCCGAAATATACTCGCGTAAGTGTGATATCAGAAACGATAGATTAGAGTAATAGAGGGGAATGGTTCTGAGACCCGGCGAACATCAGAGACGGTTCTCTTTGTTATGGTTTTAACTTGGTCACGTGATCACAAGGGCGCACACAACCGCGGGTTATCATCACGGGCGACTAGCGGGGCAAGAAAAATGGTCCGAGATATGAGTGGTCAGCGGTGAAATAGCTTTAATTCATCATGTAGAGACAAATAATTTGCAGTTGTTGTATTAAATAATCGTGATACTAATCCCGAAATATTAACAATAAAGTTTGCTAAATAACACGGGAGTGAAGCTAAGTAATTTTTCAAAAGCGTCGACTATGCAAATATCTTTCACTGTTCCAATAGGTAACGAAGGCATCGGGAAAGGTATCAAAAAATGATATATTTGTTTAGTAACTTGCTACGCGACGAAAAGAAAGTATCGTGACTTCGTTTGTCCAAGGCGTTAATCACAGCTGGTGTGCTTTTCACTTGATTTTTGCAATCCCTACTTTTTTTTGGGAAATGAAAGCTAGGGAACTCTACAGAAATTGAGTTCTCGATCTGAATGATTTTTGAATCGCTCCGGAAAACTCCACAACCTGTAAGAATGAATCTCCCCATTCGGATTGGCTTGGTTGCGATAGCTGTGGCCAGTTTTTCCACGCAAGTTGTCTGCATGTGCCTTTCGCAGAGACGCTTACACAACATTTCACCTGCCGTTAGGGCATTGGTCCAAAATCGTAACGTGATGGAGCCAATATGAAGAACATTCCAGAATTAAAAAAATTTAATTTTTGTTCGATTCAAACGTTTATTTTTCATCCCGAGTGCATCTGTTAAAGTGAAGAGAAAGGAAAATTTTGAACTGAAAACATAATTATTTTAACATACGGTTGTTTTGAGAAAAGGTCTCCTAAAACGAGCGGTTTTTATTAGGAACATTTGAGGGATGGTAAACACATTAGCCTCAATTTGGTTGTTTCTCGAAACTCTGAGTTTTCCTCCTTGCATATTTTCACATGGTGGAGGCGATTGTTCATATATAATATGAAGTAAGAGAACTTCAGCGAGTAGAATTTTTGTTATGAAAGTTTTTCACCTTAGCCTGAGGATACAAACTTATAAAAAACTCAAAAATAATTCAGATTGAGAACTCAATATTTGCAGAGTTCCCTAGTTTTCATTTCCCGGAAAAAAAAGTAGAGATTGTAAAAATCAAGTGAAAAGCACGCCAGCTATGATTAACGCCTTGGACAACCGAAGTCACGGTACTTTCCTTTCGTCGCATAGCAAGTTACCAAACAAAAATGTCCTTTTTTTTTTATGTCTTTCTCGATGCCTTCGTTGCTTATTAGAGTAGTGAAAGATATTTGTATAGTCGACGCTTTCGAAAAATTGCTTAACTTGTTATTTAGCGAAGTTTATTGTTAACATTTCGGGATTGATACCACAATTAGTTAATACAACAACTGCAGATGATTTGTCTCCTCGTGTTTTATTAAAGCTATTTCACCGCTGACCACTCATATCTCGGACCATTTTTCTTGCCCCGCTCGTCCGTGAGTGACTCCCCACACCCCAGTGACAACAAGCGATGTGTTACATAGATTTTTATCAAATAGAGTGTTTTTAAGAGATTTTTTACTAGTTAGATTTATATTATACCATGCCAGGCCGTAACTGTGCAGTTTTTTGCTGTGGATCGTGTAGACGGACCAAAGGAATCGGTATTTGGAAGTTGTACTTAGCTCAGTCTAGACAAGATACACGACCCGACAAGCATGTATTTTGCTTTAACTACTAAAGTGATGTCGGACCTTGTTATCCTCAAGAAAGAGCTAGATCCCTATCTCATTCCTAAGTTTGAGATAGTTGTCGACGAAAGCCTAGGATTTACTGTTAAAGTGTTTGGGGCCTATTTAGTGGATAATCACCCTGTCTACACCGAGAATCTTCGCTCAGTGCGAAATATGACTATTTCTAGTCTTATTTATGGACAAGAAAAATATATTAACTTTGAATAGATTAACAATAATTTACGAGGCCTTTTGTTTCTAAACTCCGCTCCGACAAGTTAATGAGCTAATGCGGCATTCCCTTTGTAGGAGAGCGCGAGTTCGTCGACTAAAGAGAGCCTCCCTGTTTAGATCTGTTTAAGCTTCGCCGTTTATATTACAGATCTGTAATATCTTCGCCATTGCAAGTGAATATCGCGAGAACCAAAGCCATTCTGCCCAATAATAATAATGAAAAATTTCCCGTCAATTACTTTTGATCCTTAGTCTCTTTGAAAAAGACTGAACCTATGACCTTGGAGAGATTATGCTTCTATCAATGGTTTCGGTTTCCACGGTTTCGATCATGTGAAATAATTTCTCAAACTCTCCACATCGGCCTGCTTAAACAAGAACCTATTCTGAACTGAACACCAGCTCAATCCAGTTTTAACAGGTAAGGCTGGAATCTTCCGAATGATAATTCAGATGACGTGCAGGATAATTCCGTAAGCAACAGCCTTCTAGAAAATTTTGAAGATGGGGCAACTGAACTGTATCTTGTTTATCCTGCAGCAGTCTCGTGATTAGGGCAGGCGGAACAAACCTAGCGCTTTGAATTTTTGTGATTACTGTTGATAGTCTAACTTCCTGTAAGTGCAGTAGTCGGTGCTTGGAATGTGAATGTAACACAATGTTCAATCCATAAGTTTACCGATGCTCACATGGGTAAACTTATGGAGAGAAAATCAGCTATCTGTTTTTTAATATTGTATGCATGTAAATTCGGAGAAAGCAAGGATCCAACTGACGATGGACAACGAATTTGCCTTAAGCCGCCTTTCGAAAAACTTCCGGATTTAGTAAAAGAGGCAAAGTAGGCAGATAATCGTTATAAGTCGAGACATATTGCATACCTTGCTTTGCATGTCTCTACAGCCGTCTCGGATCGTACAACTTCCGGCCAAGTATGCAGACACTCGTTAAAAGCCAAGATCCATGCATAACCAGCTTTAATGTCCTTAATAACTATGCTTTCTATTGGAAATAACTTAACTGTAGGTGCATTCTTCTTGAGTACTTGTGATCCGCTATCATTTTGAGTCAACCATGTACAAAATTAAAGGGCGTTTCGATTGAGTCTGGTGAAACCAAAACTTACTTAATCACAAATGCAAATCAGAAGAGAGGGAAAACTATCACAAAGAACCAATGTCAGCTTGACGTGAAATCGATCAGACGGCATAACGCGCGTACAACATAACGGTGACCAAGATCTGCTTAGCGTTAGTTGTGAATCTAATTGGCTGGTAGGATGGCGTGAGCTGTCTGGAACAGTCACTGAGCGACGTTAAGCAACAGCAATGCCTTCCTAGATTACAGTCAGTCGTTAGATCATTTCATTATGTTATGCTCAAGTGGTTATTTATAACTTTATTTTGTCATAGGTAGACAAGAGAGTAGAGTTTCTAATCGGATCATGTTTGCTGTAGGTAGTGTCGGTCGACACTATCGACCACTACTCAACATGTCGACCGCTACTCGGCCGATCGTTACTTGATTCAAGTTATAAAGGGATACGTTTCATGTATACTGCGATTCATAACAATGAATTACTTGTTTAAATTTGGAAGAGTGTTAGTGAAGAGGGAAAAATCAACTTTTCACAAACCCTTCAAGTCGTCACCCGCAAAACACAGGAAACCGGATTGTTGTACTTATGAAATTTTCCTCGTGACCACTCGAAAACTTTTGTCTGTTTTATACGGTGGCTCTCAAGGGCCATGCACCTACAAAAATTTTCATGACTTTATCGCGCGATAAGTTTTGCTAAGTCCATTCATTCAAAAAATTTGCAATCAACATTATCGCGCGATAGAACAACTTATCGCGCGATAGAACTACTTATCGCGCGATAGAACAACTTAT